GGGGTCGCCACCACCCCACCTCCTCCCCTCCCTTTTCCCCTAGTCGGAACTCTGCTTTGCAGCAGAATCATCCATTTGGACCTCCAGAACATTCCCAGCAGATGGGCAAGCAGCAATAGTGTTCCCACTTTACAGATGCGGATGCTGAGGCTTGGAGGTGCGGGTTCTCCAGGGGGTCCAAGGCGGGCTGGGCCCTGAGCCCTTCTGACATTCTGCTGTCTCCCTGAATCCTCCTGACACCCAGGTGTGGGTGGGTCTTTCAGAGACTTGGAGCCTCCAGCCTGGTGGGGGCTGCCTGGCCTGTGCCTATGGCGGGAGATGCAAGAGGAGCCAGGACCAGCCAGAGGAGGGCCTCAGTTGGGTTGGTCCCCTGTTGGGCACACTCACCCCTGCAGGCTGCCTGGCCTCCAGCTGGGGGAGAAGAACAAGAGGCAAGGGGCCTTGGGCACATAGTCTAGGGGTCCCCCAACCCCTGTTCCCCAGCTCCTCCAGCAGGTGGACTCACAGAGACAAGTATCAGACAGAGGTGGTTGCAGACACAGGAAAGGGCCCGAGGTCGCCGTGGCCCAGGTGGCTGTGGCCTTGGCTGGTAGGGTTGATGGCTCTGAAAGGCCTTCCTGGCAGCCTCTGAGTCTCCTGTCCCAAATGGCCTTTCTGGCTGCTTCCAGCTACTCCTGTGCTGCCTGGCTCCTCTCAGCCTCTGGCTCCTCTGGCTGAGCAGGGCCTCCCCTGGTCTGACCCTCAGCCCCCTCAGCAGTTGTCTCAGACTCTCCATTCCTGTCCCTGAGGCTGGCTTTGACTGCAACGTCCCCATCTCCTGGGCCCCGTTTCCCCTCCTCCCCGCTCCCTGCCCCTGGCTGCCCACTGCCCTCCTCCTCTGTTGCTGTCGCCTGGGTCTTGGGCTGCTCTGCCTGGCGGTAGACGAGGTAGCCGGTGGTGGGAAGCCTATGGGCCAGGACTCCAGGGGACAGGCGCTGATAGCCCTGCTCCTTGTACAGGAAGAGGCCAAAAGTATCAGGCTGAGCCACTCGAAATTTGGTGGCACAGAGCTGGTTCACGGTGGCAATCGAGGCCCCTGGGGGCACAGCCAGGGTCTTGGAGGTGCAGCCACTGCTGGGATCCTGATAGGCTACTCGGAGGAGGTGCTATGAAGGAAAAGCAAAACTGAGTACTTAGCCCTGCCTGGTGTGTATCTGGCTCCAAAGCTGAGGGACAAGGGTAGGCCATGCAGGGACAGGGGTGGGTCGTATAAATCCAGTGGTAGAATCAATTGGCCAAAGTTTTGTGAGCTCCAGTGGAGGGGAGCTGTCAGGCAGGGAGAGATGGGCAGGGGCTGGGGGCAGGGCTGCAGGGGCTAGGGGAGCAGGGTTGCAGGTGCAAGGATGGCCCTGCAGGATCTCACAGGCCTAAGATGAAGCTTAGATAGAGCTTACTCTGGGCCCTAAGCCCTTGTCCTGCATTCACTCATTTAATCCTAACATTGACCCCAGGAGGCAGGTACTGTTACTCCATTTTACAGATGACAAAATTGAGGCACAAAGAGGTTAAGTAACTTGCCCAAGCTCCCATAACCAAGAAGTGGTAGAGCCAGGATTGGAACCCAGGATCTGGCAACTGAGTCTGGACTCTTAACCAAGGCTGGGAAGGATGAAGGGCAGGGGTGGCATCTGGCTCTGAAGACACCCAGGCCAGAGCCCAAATGCAAGGGCAATGGGGCACAGGCTGAAGCCTGAGGTCAGGGACAGGCAGAGGCCTGGCTGGGGCTGGAGGCCAGGATTTGGAGTCTGGGCCTGTCACCTGTGTCCCTTTCCTTCTCCATGTCATGCTCCAATTTCCTCATCTGTAAAATGGGGATAATAATGGTCCTACTTCAGAGTGTCTGTGAAGATTCAGAGACGCTGCCCCTGGAGCACGTGGAACCTGCTCCCTCTAGAAAGGCTGGCTTTGACATTTTCAGAGGGCGCTGCTTCTGTGGCAGGGTGATGCAGGACTAGCCCTTTCCTCTTGCTGGGTCCCACTGGGAAGAAGAGGGGTCTGTGCTGGAGGATGCCAGAGCCTGCCTGGGCCTGGCCAGTTTGGGGTGGACAGTGTGAAGGGGCCGTGTTACCTGGAAGCTGTGGGTGGCAGGCAGGCGGCGTTGCTCCCAGAGGCTGAGGGAGCGCTGCAGCTCCTGTGAGGGGCTCAGGGGGACGGTGTGGGCCTGGGTCAGTCCGCTCAGCAGGGCCAGGCTGGCCGAGAGGCTGGTCAGGTAGTAGCCACCTGGGACATGAGGGGGAAGAATGCAGCTCAGGCTGGGCTGGGGTGCCCCGTCCCCCCACCCCTTCCCTGCTGTCTGCTCAACCCAGACAGGGAGGCAGTGTGTGTGTGTGTGTGTGGGGGGGGTCCCCTCACCCTCCCCGGTGAGGAGGGTGGGCTCCAGCAGCTCCGACATGTACTCCGTCTCCAGCAGCAGCTCGGGAAGGTCGCACTGTGCCACGACGAGGCTCAGCAGCGGCAGGAACTCATCAGCACCAGCGCCTGCCCCTGTGGGCACATGGTGAGGAGGAAGCTTCAGGCTCCTCTGGAGCCTCAGGGTCAGAGTCCAGTCCTTGTCTTAGACACTGACCCCTCCCCTCCACCTGCGAGGCCCTATGCAATGTGATCTCCACAGCACCAGCGCCTGCCCCTGTGGGCACATGGTGAGGAGGAAGCTTCAGGCTCCTCTGGAGCCCCAGGGTCAGAGTCCAGTCCTTGTCTTAGACACTGACCCCTCCCCTCCACCTGCGAGGCCCTATGCAATGTGATCTCCATAGCAACCACGTGGAGGGGCTGCAGCCAGGAGGCTCTACTCTCTGGGCCTCAGTTTCACCAA